CCCCCCCGCGACCACGATTGACACGTACATCAGGGGCGTCCCATGGTTTTCACAAGGAGGGCCTCTTGCAGAAGGCTGGATCGGGAGATATATTGGTCTGTCTGATTGCCCATTATGTCAGCCTACGCCCTTGGGTATTCGCGACTATGCGAAGTATCCATCATCGTATTTCGAGAATCGGTGGGGACGACCGGCCGAAACAACCCCCAGCATCGACCGTGGTATACGGTGATGCTAAAGTGCAGGTGCTCCGGTTCCCTTTCTGGTGCACTCCGCACAGACATAAACTGGTCAAGGGGAGTCCCGATCTTGGACCAGGAGAAGGTGATCTGGACTCTCGTGGACCAGGATACGGCGATCTTTCATCTCATAGCTTCATTCTTCGCCAATCGGTACGTTGGCGGCGGTTGTTGTTGTTGTTGTTGTTGTTGTTGTTATTGTTGTTGTCTTCACATCAAAAACCGTTCCGTTCTCTCTGCCCAGTACCTTCTTCTTTCCGTACTAGTCTAACACCTGACGGGGCCGATTCCCATGGTCACACGCAATAGCTTACCCCCAAAAGGTACACGAAATATAATGGACCCGAAAGGTTCGCAAGCCAAAAGAAGTCAACGACAGATGGTCTGGGCCACTCTGCCCTCTACGCGCTATTCCAGGTAACCCTAGAATGGAAAAACAAGAAAATGAAAAAGAAATATGACGGCGGTGCAAAAAGTAAAATCCGCGTGAGATTTCGCGCGGCAATCCACTGCCGGCACTCCCCTCAAGTCTGCCAAACAGACAGTCAGCAGGCCAACGGCAGTGGCACACGCATCGGTCGCTACACAGGCAGAGAAGGAAGGACGGGCAGGCTCTCCCATGTTTCGTGAGCTCCTACCAGTCGCCGTCAGGGTACTCCACTCGCCAGTAGTGGTCACAACAGTCTAAGATGGTGGCCATAAAGACCTTGCGCTGGCCCTCGATGTCGATTAATTCGCGACCCATTGGTGAACCTACCGGGAAGAGGCGCAACGCGTGATCCCGCGACTTCAATTCACGTGCGCCCCGGGTGGGCGGTCCGACAGGCCTTAGCGTAGCATCCTCACCATGATGGTCCTCATACGCAGCGTGAAAGACGTCGAGTTGTAGGGGGGAGAAGCTGTTGCTCGTCTCGTTTCCCGTCAACCAGGGCGACAACGTGCCTTCTTGGTAGCGCCCTGATACTCCCACGACCAAGCCGAGGTGTTGCCGGTACCATGCAAGACCTTCCTGTCCAACAGTGTGAACATGGGAACCACAATGACAGAGATGTCGGCAAGGCCGAGGTCGGCTGACCACACGAGGTGTGCGTACTCATCTTCGAACGGGAGCCGGAGGTGGTGGGGTCGCGCGCGGTACATCTTGACATCGGTGTTCGCGACTCGCCGTTGGCGTACCCGTCACCCGTTCAGTTGAACCTTGAAGCTCAAGCGGTCTCGGATGACGTGAGTGACCATCCACGGGCCAGTGTAGTGGTCGTGCGCCAGCTTCGGGTGGTGGCTGTCGCGGTGGAGAGTGTTGCTCGCCTCCTTGACTAAGACGAGACTTCTGACTACGGCCTTAGCACCTGGCGACTCCCGCGCCATGTTAGCGCTGCGGCGCTGTCGCTGTCGGTTTCGGGCCTCATGGCGTCGTTTGAGGATTTCTTTCGTCATATGCTGTTGGTCCGCAATCGTGCTCTCAACTTATTGCCAAGAACGTCGCCGTCGAGGGCTTGGGTCATGGCGTCGATGTGACTCCGACCGAAGAGTGTTCGGTATGGTGACGCCTCCCCAGGGAGGGACGCGTCTGACGTGACCCGGTGGATCCAGGTGGCGACAGGGACGAAGTCATCCCATCGCCGGGGCCATGAAGTATAGCTGAGTACGGGTCGTGTGAAGCCCCCCCCCCAGCCTCTCGACTGCTTCATGTGCCCGCGGGTGGTTGGTTCGGTCGTTGTTCAGGGGTACCAGCAGCCAGCGACACAGGTGCTCGTCATTTCCGCCATGAAGTCGCTTCCGGGGCCGCATCGGATCGAGAGCGGCAGACCAAACATGAGGAGGAGTCTCAGCAGTTTTGTGGCTGACACCATTTGCTTCCTTCGACGGCAGAGGAAAGGCGGTGAGGAACTCGTCGCTCGGTCAACCACGACGAAGTAGCTTCGGATACCGTTGTCGGAGGACACCATCATATCCTGAATGTCCATCTCGAAGATTTCCTATGGCTGGAGGAGTCGGACCGGCATCATGGGCGCGGGCGTGTTTCTTGAGGGTGGGCCTGTGGCAACTCCTCTCGATCAACACCGTCGTGCGCTCGGTCCCCGGGTGGCCATACGTGCCGTGAATCAGGGCCAACACCGCCGGCACGAGTCGTCTGGGCACTGCAGTCATGTACGCGCGGCCTCGTGGTGAGTGCCAGAGCAAGTCGTCGTCGGAAAGGACATATTCGCTGTCCTCGCCTTCGTCCCGCGTCCAACTCGCTCCGCAGTGGCTGCAGCGAACAGCCCTGTCGCTGCGCTTCCACGAGTTTCACGGTGTCTCGCAGGGTGTCCTCCATCCGCGCCAGCTCGGCGGAGAGTTCACGGCGTAGCTGCGGCGTGTCCAGTGGAGGGTGGTCATCCGAAGAGCGTTCCTCGGGATGCGGCAGCGGGGTACTGCTGCCGCGGTATACCACCGGTGCCCGGGTGGTCGTTGGTGCCGGAGGAGGCAGTGGTGAAGCCGTGGGTGCAAGGGCGGCGTGGGTTCTGGGGGCGGCCACGGTGGTGGCGGCGCAGACGACGGTGGCGGCGGCGTCGATGACGGCGCCGGCTCTGGTGGAGGCGTCGGCACCGAGCGTCGAGCCGGTGCCTTCGCTTTCGACGAGGCCCGGGTGGTCCCACTACGCCGCGCGCGATTGGCGGCCGGTGTGGCATCTGTCGGTTTCTCCGGGGGAGTAGCGGGCGGGGGCTCAACCGGTGGGGGTACTGCCCGGCGGGCCATTCCTCGTGTGACCCTGGGTATGACAACAAAGCGCGGCTCCTCGAGGCTGGCCTCCTCAATCGGGGCCGCGGGTGCTTCGTCCCCGCCCGGTGCTCCCCTTCCTTGCCAGGAGTCTCCATTGGCTCCAGCCAGAGGGTAGCCAAGGGGCCACCGGCAACTCTTCGTTCATGCTGCTGGGCGCTGGGGCGCACGGTTGTCGACCGCGCCGTAGATGCTGAGCGCACTGACCGGTTCTTGGAGCATGGCTGGCAGCATGAAGTCCTCGATCTCCCACGCGGCGTCGATACGCCGAGCAGTCGGCGGGATGTGGAAGTCGGCCTGGATCGTGGTGAGGTCGATGAAATCAGCCCATGTCAGGTCTTGCGTCGACGACAGGCGCGATGTTCGTGGGGTGGGGCTGGTACTTCTCCGGCAGTGGTCGACGGCCCATGACGTGCCCATCGGTGAGGGTGATCGCAGGTGCGGAAAAGCTGAATACTCCCTTGTCGCCGGGTGACCGTTTCAGGAAGAAGTGTCCCTCACGCCCCAAGAAAGTGCCTACCGTGGGTTTGGCGGTCGCACGCTGCAGTAGGCGGAGTTTCCATGTGGGCAACTTCGCCGGCAGCTGTTTGGGGGAGTTGTGCGGGTACCGCTTTACTGCAACCGCGAAGACCCGCTCTTTCCCGGTGGGCACCCCAACATCCGTGGCTTGGAGGGTGGCCCCCTTGACGTAGCACCGAGCCTGCTCCAAGCTCGGTCGCAGGCGTTCCTTCCACGCCAGTGTCCTGGAGAATCACGCCAGGCACTCCAGGAGCAGCAGCTACGCCCTGGAGGTGGTGAGGGTGTCCATGATGGCGGCGGCCTGGGTGGTCGCCTTGTCGCCGCGGCGGTGAGGGTCGTGCGTCGGCAGATGTTTCCGATGAGAACTTTGGAATGAAAGCAGGCGCGACAACGCGTCGGGCGTCATGTGTTCTGTGCCTTTCCGTCATCTGAGCTCGATGTCGATCCCCATCAACCGCAGCGCCCACCTGCACATTTTGGAAGACAGGTTCTGGCTGGTGAACAGCCGGGTCAGGGCGGCGCAGTCAGTGACGAGGGTGAAGCGCCGGTGCTGCATGTACGTGCAGAACTGCTCGATGCCGTAGAGCACCCCGAGAACCTCGTGGTCGTTGGGAGAGAGCCCCTCCTCCGTTCGTGTGAAACGGTGGCTGGTGTAGCCTAGTGGGGCCTCACAGTTCTCGACAGCCTGCGTGAGCACCGCTCCTGCGGCGAGTTCGCTGGCGTCCGTGCACAGGGTGAACGGTAAACTCCAGTTTGGTACCGCCAGCACCGGGTGGGTGACCGGTGCTTACTTTGATGATGGCCTGGAATGCTTCGGTCTGCGCGGGGCCCCACGGTACGCGACGATAGCGCGCTCGCTTCGAGCTGAACGTCTTGTCCCGCAGGAGATCGGTGATGAGTTCCGGCAGGGCACGGAAGTCCGGTAGGACCGCCCGGAGGTAGCCGGCGAGGCCGAGGAACGATCGCACCTCCCCGTCCGTCGCCGGCATCACCATTTCCTGCACGGCCTTGATCTTGGATGGCGCCGGCCGCACGCCCGATCTGCCGACCACGGCTCCCAGGAATTCCACCTCCGACAAGTAAAACGTGCACTTCTTGAAGTGCACCGAGTACCCCGCCTCGTGGAGGAGGTCTAAAACCTCCTCGATGAGGAAAAGGTGCTCCTCTACGGTGCAAAAGAATGTCGCCCAGCCAACGTTTGACGCCGCCCTCGTTGGAGCACCAGAGGCGCCCGTCGACATATCCTTCCCTGACGACACCTTCCGCCCTGTGATCAACCAGGGCCCGGCGGGACCAGTGCTCGACGGGGTGCCTCTCCGGACGTGCGCCTCCACCACGACGGGAGAAGACCGACCCGCCGCCCGTTGACGTGAACGAGGAAATTCGGGCAGCGGTGGAGGACGAGAATGTGTTTGACGGCATCTCCCTCGTTGCGCTTGGGCCAACCGAGGTAAGCCACCAGACGGAGGTGCCGCTACCCGTTTTCTGTGCCCCCCAGCTCATACCGGAGCTCCTGGAAAGCGACAACTGCTACCGCCTCCAGAGCGACGAGGACGTTCGGAGCGACCTGGCCCCCCGGCTGCCCCGACCCATTTTTTGAGCTGTGGTGCCGGCGGAGCGCCCCTGGCACTCGAAGGCCTGCCACGAGTCGCCGCCGCCATCGAACCGGACTGGACCACACTGGAGTGTGTGAGAGCAGACAGCTGGAGAAAAGGCGTCCGTCTTGTCCGAGCTCCCCTTGTTGGTCACCACGTGCATACAGGTACTGACCGAACTTCCACCGGGCGACGGGTGTCGCCCAGCTGGGCCGAGAAAACGGCGAGGATCGTCGTGAGGTCGAAGCCGCAACGCATGAACCCGTACAGCCGCCCCCGAACGTTTCTGAAGGCCGTCTTGTGGCAATCGGCTTCCTTGATCGAAAGCTGGTGGTACCCCGAGGGCAAATCGAGTAGCGTGAAGAAGTTGCTACCTTTAATGCGGTGGTGCATCGGCGGTAACGCGGTTGATATCGTCTTTCTTCTTGACGATGGATGCCCGGCTGCACATCCGGCTGCACCGTGAGGATGTGGAGTAGCGGATGTCGCCCGTCTCCAGCCAGAATTCGGTTTGCTTGTTGACGATCTCGGCTTGGACGGAGTTGTACTGCTACCATCTGCACGAAACGGGCGTAACATTCTCGTCCACCAACGGGAGCGGCACCTCACGGCCAGGGAGGGCCGCGACGATCTTGAGGTTGGCGGGGAACAGCCCCTTGCCTTGGTGCGAGTGATTAACACCAATGGCTACAGGCGGCTCTGGTGGACGAACTGCCCGGTGTTGGCGTTGCTCACGCGGATGCCCGGCTCGTTGACTGTGGCTGGCGGCGTGTATGCCGTTGTGGGCGGCGGGGCAAGCGTGAGCGGCATTGGCGGGGGTTCCCTGAGGAGTAACGTCCGCTCCAGGTCGTCGCAGATAGGGGCGGACGCCGTGGCCACTTGCACATCTTGTACGGCAGTCTTGGGCCCCGTGGCACGGTTCACGAGCTTGATCTTCGACGCGGTGCCTGGGGTTCACCATTGAACCCCCTTGGTGACACCGTTCTCCGCGTAGCGCTCCAAGTCGAAAGGTCCGAGAGGGAAGACTACCAGCAGTTGGGCCGTGTGTGACTGGGGTCCCAGCAGCAGCGCCACCTCGGCGCTGACCCTCCCCGCGAAGTCCTGTTTGTGGGCCAGGAGCATCGGCCACCGCAACGAGCTTCCGTCCTCCTCCCATGCAGTCGAGCCAAGGTCCATTTCCTCGGCGACCGCTAGTTGGGGTAGCAGAGGCAGCCAGTCTCTTGTCACCTTGCTCCCTCGGCTCCTCAGCGCGCCATTTCACGGCGCAGAAGCCCTGTTGGGTGGGTTCGGCGCCATCTGTAGCAGGGGGGCGGGCCGCCGCGAGGGCGACCCGGAGCGCGCTGCGGGAGTCGCTCGTGAGCTTGAAGACGCGCGCTCGGTCAAAGTCGATCGTGCTGCCGTAGTGTGTCGCATGAGGCCCGCACCCAGGACCAGATCAAACGGCAGTCCTTCCACGATACGAACGTGCGCGCGGAAGGCGAGGTTCACAGGCGGAAAGACCAGCGGTATCGCCGTGCCGATGATCGACATTGGTACAATGCCGCTATCAGCAGGGTTGGCAGCGCGAAGGAGACCTCGCCCTCGCCTTGAGACGATGCAGCGGTCCCCGTTGAGCAATATTCTAGAAGTGCGCCGTTACCCAGGTTTGGTGGGAGCCCTTAGATACCGGCGCAACAGAGGCGTGAGCGGCTGCAGAGACGGCCACGCAAGCAGCACCCTCCACAGGCTCCCGCCCGCGATGTTTCGGTGTGTTCCCCGGAGAGTCCCTCGAAGAGGTGCTCTCCAGGGCATACCCTCAGGAAAGGGCCTCCGGTGCCTCCTCCATTGCCGCGGCGTCCAGAGTAGCCCACCCAGCGAAGGCCTCTACCGCGTACAGGAGGTTCTCGTCGAAGTCCTCCACGGCGGTGAGGGGTCTGGAAGACGGTGGGCGCGGGTAGGCCCCGAAGGGAAAGGGGGTCGTCAGTATGCAGGTACCGACAGTAGTGGTCTTGCACCATGCGCTTGCACGGGAGTCCCCGGGCGTGGTTAAAGCTGACCCCGTGAGCCTTAATGATCTCTTGGATCGTATTCTGGTCGACCTCGGGTGCCGGTGCATCCGCTGGGAACCACCGGTCGCTGGTGAAGTGTCCGCGGTCGACACGCGGTCCCCGGGCAGCGGGTGGCAGCGGGCCATTGGGCGTCCGGCGCGAGCGCCATGGGTCCCTCGCGTCTTCATCCGGGACGCCGGCTTGAGGCGCACACTCTCGCTTCACCAAGTCGCATGGTGCCGACGTGTTGCGGTCGGCGCGCGGGCGACTGTCGGGCGGTGCGCGGACGGCCGCAGTTGTCGCCCAAGGCCGGTATCGGGGGCCGTCAAACGCCCCGACCTGGGCGTCGGGGTCCTCTGTATCCGAGTCCGAAGCGGAATCGCGGCAAGCCTCCAGGGGCAGGCGAGCGGCGCCGTCGTCCAGCAGCGCCATGGAGGAGCTCTGCCGTTTGGCTTGGCGCGTGAAGGTGTCCTGTCCCGGCGCCAATCGCCGCGACGATAGCTACAACACCGACACGACCGTGCCTGTGGGGGGGCTGCCGGCTTGGGCGGTTAAGGGCGCGTTCTGATCCAAGGTGGGGACGACATTGCGGAAGAAATCCTTGCACAGTTCCCCGCGCAGGCGCATCTGCTGGGAGCCCAGCGCGTGGGAGTCTATCGGGTGCTGCCATAGCAGGTTCCGACTCTGCTGCATGCCTCCCACCAGTTGGGCGTGCGACTTGCCCTGGTCCATGCGCTGCGGGAAGCATAGCGACACCGCCTGGTTCATGAAGATGTGAGGCTCCGATTTAATGGGTAGGGGGTCTGCGCTGAGGAATTGAACTCTTTCGCGCGAAGCGCGAAAAAATGTGAGGAGGCGTGTTTTCTCAATCCCGAAATAGAGGGACATCAGCTGGTGACAACGGAAATGGCAGTTTCTCGCCGCGATGATGCTCGCTTTCCGCGCGTTTTTTTGCGTCACACTCCCGGATGTATTTGATTTGTCGTGATGGTGATGGAGGGCACTATCAACACCCAAAATCTCATATAAATTCGTTGCAAAGAAGCTAGTATGGGGCACTACACGCATCAAAAACTGCTATTTGTTGTTGCTGTTGCTGCTTGCTGTGGATGTAATGTATATACGAACGAAGGCGGCAGAGATCAACAACTTGAACACATGTCACGCAAGCTGCGAGCCAAAGATGCACTTGATCCTGCAGTTGTCCAAACTGCCAAGCGTCAAGTTTAGGTGTGGCTACTAATCGGTGAATTGGGGTTGGCTTCCTTCCGTGTTGATACATATTCGCATTGACTACGTCATCAATAATATCGAAGCACTGACCAGTCGGTTGTCCCCATGCCTGATGGCGTATGATGCCCTCCGATACAGGTCCAAGTTAACGGTCGACGATGGAAAGCGTCTGCTGGATTATTTTAGCATCCAATCATATAGTGAGCACCGCAGAAGGACACACAAAAATTCCTGTTGTGTGGCCTTCCTCACTCCGGACCCGGTTGATAATGAGTCCAGAAACACACACCTTGGTATGTTTCGAAACGTGCAAAAAAATGACGGCCAGAATAAATGTGACAGCACATACACACAAAACGTGAATCCAGAGCAGAAACAGAAAAAGCGCAAGAGTGCACGAAAAACACCAGTCGTCACACGGACACACATTTTCCAAGCAGTCCTCGCGAGCAAACATAAATAATATGTCGTATCAACCACACCCGCACTCTACCACGCCTTGGCCTACAAAAACCGATGTGGTACATGTTCCTCTCGTCTCGCTTGCTGGCCTCAAACGAAGGAAGAGCTCGTCATAGGCACCAAAAATAATTTCCGTACTCCCTGTGCCACCGCAGCGCACACCCTCGCAATTCCATGGGAGTAGCTCCTCTTCCTCTCCTCTCCGACACGGCACCCCCGCACCATTGCTGTCATCAGCGAAGGTTGGCAGGCGACAACAACGTGAGGCGGAAATGCAGTGCCCACACTCTAGCACTCAACGAATGTCGGGTTCCGCGGCCGCTTGCCACCATCGTTGTGTTGGTAAACTCGTGGCTTCTGGGGAAAGGATGTTTTATTGTTGAGACCTTGGACCAGGAAAATAGGTCAAAAGGTGAAGTGAGCAAGGGTGGGGAGCACCACAGCACCGCAGCACCGCAGCACCGCAGCCACCACCCGTGTCGCTCGACCAACGCAGAAAAGCAGAACACAATGATATCGGAACACAAAGACTCAACAGACAGGGGCTAAAATATATAACGTACTTCACAACGTACCATGAATCCTCTGACTGATGCACTATCCACAAGAAACGCACTCGGAGTAATTCACCATCCACGAAGAACATTCTCACAGAACGTTCCTTGCTGTTCTGATAGTATGTGGCTACTCAACGATCTTCAACGCAGACAGTCCCGCAATGCAAACTGTCCGATCAAGTTGTTCTACGTCACTCTGTCGACACACACAGCAGCAACTATCACGAACACGTTGCCCCCCCCCCCCTTCAGCATCACCACCAACAGTCCAGCAGTTGGCGCAGCGTGAGTGGCGACAAAAACACTGGTGCCGGTCTCTCTACTTACCTCCCCTTCGGATGCAGCCACCCCTCTAGCAGCTTGGCAGCGCGGACGGCCTATGCAAGACCCCCCCCTGCCGTCATCCCACACCCGTTCCCTCCCCCCGCGAGGCAAGCCCTCCACCAGATTGCGGCGTCCGTAAGGACAAGCTGCATCTCTCCAATCGAGCCTTCAAACCCAGCCCCATCCCCGCGCTGTTGAAGATCGAAGCGGAGGGCGATTGTTCCTGCTTGGCCACATCATCAACGCATGTTCGCCCGCCGCCAGTGCCGCCACTGCCGCCACTGCCGCCAGTGCTCCTTGTGATAGTTCTCAAGTTGCGGTGCTGTCTTACAGACTCCGGGCGAGCCCACTCCTCTTGCCCGTGCCTCCTGGGTCCGTGGCGGCCGGATAGTGCGGGGGGACGGGGGCAACTCGCCTTCCAGTCCGCCGTGGCCTCTGGACTACACGTATGAGGCGGACAGCAAGGCTGCCAACTTTTTGAATCGTGCTTAAACCGTACGAGACACTGAAAATGCTGTGGAACGACTCTGTACGATTCAGGACGATTCCTGATTGGCGACCAATCGTGACAAAAAAACGCACAATACGATTTTCTCTTGCTGACTGGTTGGCAAATACAGTCCAACGGGCATCTCTCGTGCATCTCGTGGGCAATTGTGTCAATTTCGCTCGAAACAATGCGTGGGGTGGACAAAAGGGGGTTGGGAAGCACAAACATGGCACACTTCATGGTCACAGCGCCGTTTGGGCGGGACAAAGGTGGTCTGGGGCCATTTGGGTGCAAGTTGCCAAATTCGAATTTGGTCGTCTTTTTTAAGGCAATGAGCGGATGTGGCCCAGGCACACACGTATGCCCAGTTACAAGGCGAGAAAAAATAATGGGACGAATGCAGCACATTGCATTGACTGAATCTTGGAAGAGGTTTTCAAAATCAACAATAAAAAAGATGCTCTGATTTCAAAATCGTTTTTGATTTGTGACGCACATCCGCTAGGGGCACACGCGTGCGAAGTGCCAGCAGGATTGACGACTTTCGGAGGATAGTGGCACGGGCGGAGTCTCACAAGACTTTCGCTGTGTGGAAGCAGTTCCTTCTCCACGACTACCCTGCGTACATCGCCTTCCGAACTGCCCTGCGTACGGGGAACTTCAGGCTAAGGCTTGTAGGCCTTCGCCGTATCACCTCCATTTTCATCACCGGCAAAGACAAGTACCAGTTCCTCGTGGTAGATAATCTGACGGAGGTGTCGCGTTATTCGCGCAATGATATGAGCGTCGTATCCAAGCGATTCTCCATCTCACTCGGCTCTCACACGTTTGCACGAATCGGCTTGGACGAGCGGCAGGAGGTGTCCAATCGTCTATACAAGACATTGACGAAAAGGATCCTTTCGAGCACGATAGAAAAGCTGGCACCGATTGCCCAGCTGCGTGAAGTCGCCATCTTCGACTCGAATCGCATTTCATCGAGAAACCACGCTCGGAGAGGGACCTTTGCAGATTGTTGGCGGTGAAACGTGCACCAGCAGTCAGGGCGGCGATCGACTCCTTGAGAGAGAGCCCGGCAGAGCGCAGAGTTAGAGGACCCCAAGTCGGACGAGAACGGCGACGGTTCGGTCGGTGCACTCGACGATTTGATCAAGTTGGGTTCGAGCGAATCTGGCTCCAGCGATGGGGAACCTGATGGGGTTAGCGAGAAGAGCGTCGACTCCAACTGGAGTGACGGAGACACAGATGATGGCGTTGCGGATCTCGTAACTGACGCCTGGAACTGAGATCTGGCTACTTCTTCAGGCAGGAACATAGACTATATCGTTCCTTGGGATTGGGATTGGGGATGTCGTGCCTGGCATTATTGCATGTCAGATCTCCACGTCGTACCCAAAGATCGTGTGGTTTGATTTATTCTAACTCCATGTTTCAATGACATATTTCGCGCGTCCTTGTTGGTGGT